CAGGGGGTCGGACTTGATGATCTGCTCAGGTCCCTTCCGACCCTACCAACTGTGAAACTATGAGTCCAGCAGAGAGCAACAAAAATGGTTAGGGAGCTGGGGCACATGACTTGTGAGGAGAGGCTGAGAGAACTGGGCTTATTTAGTCTGCAGATGAGAAGACTGAGGAGGGATTTGGTAGCAGCCTTTAAATACATGAAGGGTGGTTCCAATGAGGATGGAGCTAGACTAGTCTCAGTGGTGGCAGATGACAGAATAAGGAGCAATGGTCTCAAGTTGTTACAAGGGAAATTTAGGTTGGATATTAAGAAAAACTTTGTCACTAGAAGGGTGGTGAAGCACCCTCCTAGTTACCTACAGATGTGGTGGAATCTCCATCCTTGGAGGTTTTTAAGACCCAGCTCAGCAAAGCCCTTGCTGGAATTATCTAGCTGGGGATGGTTCTGCTTTGAGCAGCAGGTTGTACTAGATGACCTCCTGAGGTTCTTTCTAAGCCTAATTTTCCTATGATTCTGGTATCTCCTTGGAAGCCTGTATAGACAGCAGTGTATGGGAGCAGACTGATGGTATTTTAAAAATGAGATCCTGTCTGTTACTGGTAGGACGTCAGAAACTCTCCAAGTAAGAAAAGTCTTCTAACACTGGCTTCTTCCGTCAGCTCAACACCTTAGTTAATAGAAAGACAGATTTGGAGGAAACAATGATAGGAACAGTAGCAACAGTGACTGAGCAAATACATGCCCCTGTTTAAAAGATCTGCCATGTTAGGTCCTTGCTCGGCTGCGTGACCTAGATCATTCCCAATGAAGAGGACGAGAACAACCTAGATCAGTGTAAGCAAAGGGGATAGCCAAGGTTCTTTTGGACCTACAACAGACTAACAGACATCTTGGGTTTTCCTGAGGTCTTCAGCCCAAAAAGGGGAATAACATGCATGCCTTATTAATAGGCAGCTTGTCATGAGCTTTGGGGTTCCAAGACTTACTTTGTCCCTTATCCAGCACAGGTGTGTCACCCCGGGAAGAACAGTTGCTGCGTGGCACGTTGCACCGGGTTGCACAACCCACCAGAGTGATTCCCGCAAGGACGCCATCTGTTCCAGATGACTCTTCTGGATTCACATCACCCTCCAGAAAGATCTCGCCTGGGGGGTAGTCACTGTCACTGGCCGCTAAGGCAAAACAAGAGATTCTCCTATAAGTACGTCGCACTATCAATTTAGACCAGAGGTAGGGAACGTTTTTGACTGGAGTGCTGAAAAACCTGCAATGTCTACCCTGTAAGGTGCCAGAGTGCCGGCATGCCAGAAAAAGAAAACGCGGGTTGGGGGTACGTGGCAGGAACACACTGCATATTAATACAGTTAATAATCATTTTTTCTTACAGTAAATACCAGGTTTTCTAAAAATTCTAAACCTGTTGACAATAAATAAAATTTCATATACTACCTTTGTTGTTTTGTATTCTTTTTTGCTAATCATATTGTGATGAGAGAAAAAGAAAAAGAGAGGAGTGAAGAAAAAGAGGATAGTGAGAGAGAAAAGGAAAGAAGAGGGAAGAGAGGGAAAGGGGGGAGGGAAAGAAAGGAAAAGAGAAAGAGGAGGGAAGGGAAAG